TTTGTGCTTATACCATGGGCACGCGGTCTCCTGTGGGTTGTGTTTGTCGGCGGCATTGGTTTTATGCAAAAAAAACTGTGAACCGGTTTCAACATTAAGCCGAGTCAGGCTTGCTTCAACCATCTGGCTGGTGGACAGATGGTTGGATACGACCTCTAGTTAGACGCAAACCCATGTAACACTTTAACGTCTGTGAATAATGATACAACCCATCTCATCGGAAAAGTGTGTGCAGGCCGGACGACCAACGATTGTCTTAATATAACGACACAATGTCCACACTTCCAGTGCTTGTGCGCTAGTAGTCTTGCTTAGGCTGAAGACTCTTGCACCTGCACTGCGGCACACCTCTGCGTGTTGTTACAGCCATATGATACGTAACACCACGTCACAATCAGATGCCCCCCCCCCCCCCAAGACGCATTTCTGGCAGGCGATTCGATTCAAATCCACCTGCTGCTCACCCTCCACCACCCCTCACTCGCGTCCCCCGGCTCGTGGTTCAGAAAGCGCTGTGCTGCGGGGAAACGCGGCCTCGTGGTGGAGGGGAGAGCGCCAGGGAGAGCGTCAGGGGGAGCGTCAGGGAGAGCGTGAGTTAGCGCGATGGGAGTAAGACGTCAGCACAGGGAGAGGGAGAAGAGAGGAGAAGGGAGGAGGAGAGGCGAAGAGAAGAAGAAGAGAGCGCGGGGAGAGCAACGGGAGAGCGTGAAGGGGAGAAGGAGGAGTGTGAATGAGAGCATGGGGAGAGTTCAAGGTTGACATCAGAAACCAGGAGCGCGGCATCATCCATCCACATGTCGAGAGGATGCATTCGTGGAGTCTCTGGGCGTGAGCTGTGCGCTGTCCGCATCATGGTCACGCTGGGGCCGCTGAACGGATCGCTCGCTGCACCGTCCTCCAATCCCTCTGGCTGGTGGACACCGATTGCGTGCGGCCGGTGAGAGACGAAACGAACCAGGCAGGCAGAGAGCATGTGTCTCTCCGTGGGTAGCTCGCAGTGCGAGAGTTTCTCTTTAAGCGCGAGGTGGGTCCGACGCTGTGAAACGCCTTGGGCGCGTCTATTGGGAGGCACCTGGCGCATATGTGATGCCCCCGCGCTTTGCCAACAGTCTGTGACATTTATAGGCGCGCATGTGGTGCTGCCAGTGTCGGCTTTAAAACTGAACTCGTCCTGATGGACTGACCTAGATATGATCAGCAGAATGCAGTCTCGGAAGACGGGTCGCGAGATGACCGCTGTAACGGATATCGGCCTGAGATCTGCTGCTCCCGTAATAGGCGCCAGTTTTTGGAATTGGAGTCACCAAGTGCACGCTGCCCCACGCGGTGATGCCACCGCCGCTGCTGCTGCTGCTACTGCTGCTGCTGTACTTGACGAGTTCGCCTCGGACACCGCCCGAGTCCGCGTGAGGCGCATGCCTTGCGAAGCCCCCCACGGGGGATCGAGTCGCCTGCTCCCGTCGTAGCGTCGGCTCAGTGGTGAGGGAGGCGAGTGGGTGAGGGAGGCGAGTGGGTGAGGGAGGCGAGTGGGTGAGGGAGGCGAGTGGGTGAGGGAGCCTCAACACTGCCCACAGACTCAGCACTGTCCCTGTACATGAACCTCCTTCCGCCCCCTCTTAAAGCCTCTCCTGTTCTCCATCGCCCATTCCCTCCCTCTTCCCTCCCTCGCCCCTCCAATCTTTCCCGTCCCTCCCCTCCCCTTCCTTACATACCCTTTATCGCTGTCATTCATTCCTCAAACTTTGTACGCCAGTGTCAACTACTACATCATTGCATTCTCTCATCGTTGTGTGAGCTATGTTAAGCCCCTTAAATGAATGCGCTCTAGATACACATATAATTATATTAGATTTTTTTTTAAACACGTGGGTATCACCCTGCGATTCGTTATCCGTGGAACCACAATTGTCTGCGCGTTCCAGCAGAAGGCCACGCATCGCCAGGGCACCTGCTCCGTGGGGGGCCTTGGTGAGCACCTTGGTTGCGATGATGCGGTGGGGAGATGTTGACTACCTCGCCTGCTATACAGGAGCGCGTGGGTTCGATCCCGACCCTGACGCCTGCTGTATATTTGGAGTTTGCGGTGTCTCTTTTACCAGGGTCGCGTGGATTTTTTCTCCGGGTCCTCCGGTTTACCCCACACACACACACACATTTAGAAACACGCGTTAAGAGTATTTGGCTGCTGTAAACTTCCACGCGATGAGCCACTTCGTTGAGCTATCATTTGTCACCAGGTCGCTTCTGATAAAAAAATGAAGAACTACATAGCTCAGGTGGGCCTCACCTGGTAAAAATAACACATCGTTTAATCGTTTAGTAGAGTTGAGCTGAAGCCGCTTGCCCACCCCGCGCCGCGTGTCGCCTCGTCCCTCCGGAGCAGCCGCTCCACGGACCCCGCGCTCACGGTGCGGCCACGGCTCGGCTGGGTGTGTGGACGTATCGGCGACGCGCCGCGATGCGCAGTCGACCTCGATGGGGGGGGGGGGAGGTTAGTCAATTTGTAGGACGACTCGGTGCCTCCTACTGCTATAGGATCGATTATTTTAGTGCGAGCAGTATCGGTATTGGCTGCAGTGGGTGGAGAGGGGAAGGTGGGAGGGGGTAATGCAGTTCCTTGCTGAGACACCTCGCGCCCACACGGGGACAGACAGCTGCCCCTGGGGGTGCCCCTTCTCCCACGTGTTGAGATGAGATGCGAAGCGTAGCGCTCTGAGACGCCCGGCGCATAGGAGGGCGGCGGTTCTATCAACCGCAATCGTCGCCACTCTCGTCGACGACGGAGATACTTTTAGACGCCGCGAGCAGCAGCAGCGGCAGCCGCCATCGCGAGCTGCACGGCGTTGGGCCAGACCGTGGCACGGGCCTCTGTCACGAGCTGCGCCTGCCGCGTCAGTCGCTGATTGCCCGCTGGGGGCGCTAGGACCTCGCCATCCGTCGTGTCGCCGTGGTGAAGAGAGGGCGAGCTTAGAACGGACGTGGAGACCCGGTCGTGGCCGGGTCCTCGGGTTTAAGGGCATTACACAATCGCTGGAATTGTCACGCGCCTAGTGAGCAGTTGGTGAGGAGCGGTGTCAGTGAAGGGATGTGTTAGTAAGGAGTTGATGTTAACGAGTCCGTTGGAGTGTTAGTGAAGGAGTGTTCGAGAACGAGTGTGAGAACTGGCCCCGGGTATCTTTAGAGGCGCGACCTGACCCCGTGACCCCGCACACAGCGCGTGATGCGCACGCGCATTCCGCGTCCCCCCCCCCATCCCTCCCCCTCCGCCGCCACCACCACCACCACGCGCGCGCGCCCCGTGATGGGCGTGCACGCGCTCCAACGTAGCCCCTCATCATCATCACCACCACCATCACGAGCCATGCTCTATCCACTGCTGGATGAAAGTATCCCCATGCAATCGCTGTTCGTCATCACAAGCCGTGTTGCTCCTTCTGCCATTCCGCCACAAGTCTCGCCCATTGACCATTCACTGTCCCTTCCCGCGATGGTCAGAAGACCCACTGAGCCCACCCCGTCCCGAAAACCATCCCTCCACCAAACTAACTTCACAAAATAACCCAAATGACGCCCATTATCTTTAACCAGATAAACACGAAATTGAGGTCGTTTCTATCGCCACTCACCCCCTACCCTCACGTCGTCTACCCCCCCACCTCCCACGAGGTTCGTGACGATAAGACCCCCCCCCCTCCTCCACACGCCCTCGCCCAGGGCGCGGGGCGCACGTGGGATCGTTCACTTAAGAGGGCACTGGCGAAGCGGAGGGTAAACTGCAGGGGACGAAGAATGACCTCGCCCCGGGGGCATAAAACACCAACCCCCCCACCGACACCCCTCGCCTCTCACATAGCAGAGTTTCTCACTTGCACGTGGCAGGTGCCCATCTCAGTTGGTTTAACTTAAGCCCTGAGCTTCCACACGCGTGGTCCCGCTGGCCCCTGGGGTTAGGGGAGCGCGCGGGGGTGGGGGTGGGGGAGCAGTGATTTTGACTGGGACCCTGCCATACACTACAATGTTGAGAGCCACTCACCATAATCCCCATTAGGATGGACGCTACAAATTCCTTTAGGAACCACGTGCATGGGGGGGGGGGATTCTGAGTGAGTGAGTGTCACGGGATGGAATATCACCCGCAGCTCTTTGTGTGAATCCATCACTCGGCTCGCTCGTGTGGTTATGACAGCTCCGCGCGGTATTTGCATGTCCCACTGGCGGTGCGGGAATTCCCACGGCTAACCTGGGCTCTGTTTACATTCCGCACATCCACACAATTGTACAGATGGGAAGGTGATGCAATACCTCCACGGTGACTTGAGCAAGCTTCTCCTGACTCCCATGTACGTTCCTAAGCCCCCGTTAATATTTTCAGCGAGTCTACAGTGAGTAGTCCGTTAGGTTGTGTTTGGCTGTGCCCAGATAATAATAATGTTCTCCCCTCCGAGTTCCCGACGACACGTGCTTTTCATACGAATACAACAACAACAAAAACCTCCTCTGCCAGTTGCGAGGACACTCAACACACTGCCCAGCTCTGTGTAGTTCTGGGGCGAAATTGGCGACCACATGATAAAAAAATGTTTTGTTAATTCTATATGTTATGTATGAATGCCAGCGAGATGAGCGCGCGTGCTTTATAACGCGCGTGCGTGGGAGTGAGCGCGGCTTCCCAGCTCGTTAACCACCGCAGTTGCGCACTTCAAGAGTTTAAACGCAAACGGAGGTCGGCGCTGAACGCGTGAACGCGGGGCGCGCATCTCCGCCGCGGCACCTGTCGGCGTTCTCGCGATCAACCATCACCCTCGACTCGTGGCTCCGAGACTCGTGACATTGCTGTAGCCTCACACGCGAGTGCGTATTCCCGAGGGATGCAAGTGGTGGCTGAGTGTCGACATAAGCGGTGGTGTCTGTGAGGCTCGACGTGCGGGGATGGACGAGTGAGCGTGCGTCGCGTCGAATGGATGTGCGGTGCGAGCGGGGAGTGGGTGGGGGGGGCTTACCTGCGCCCTGCATGGAGAGACGCGTTTTGGGGAGGCTGCCCGCACCGCCGTCTTTCTCGGCCGCTCCGTCCGCCGGGTGCGCGGTGGCCGGCGAAGGCGCCGTGGCGTGCAGACAGGCGACGAGCAGCAACAAGAGGCGGGCACGGGATGCAAACCCCATGGTTTGTTTCTCCGCTCGGAAGGCGCCCGGGACGTGAGAATCTCGCACTGCGCGCTGAAACACTCGCGGCCGCTACTCAAAAGCTCACACGCCTCGGAACGAAAAGGACTGCGGCGAGCAGGTGGGCCCCGATTTTATACCGCGGCCCCCGGGGCGGTGGGCCCCCGACCATGGCCAAGTTTGACCACTCAGAGTGAAGAGAGAGCGGGGCGATGGCCCGCCCCTCCGCGACACCCCCCTCCACATCCCCATCTCGGTCCACTTCCACCACCACCCCACCACCACCACCACCACCACACCGCCTCCGTGTGCCCCACCCCCCACCAGCACCAAACACCCAGAGCACGCTCACCGTGACTCCTGTTGGCGCTGGCTGTCGCGTACGAGCGGCGCACTGCAGATGAGGCGCCGGGTGGCCGCCGCGGCCGTGCGGCTGCGGGGCCGCAGCGGCGTCTTGGCAGAGAGAGAGAGCGAGCGAGGGGCCGCGACGCCGTCGAGACTGCTACAGATAGATGCAGCCTCTTTGCGGGGAGGGGTGAGGAGAGGCGGGAGGGAGGAGGGAGGTAACGAAGTGGACAATCTCCCTGCTCCCTCCCCTCCCCTCCGTCCTACCTCCCCTCCACGGCCGACCTGACATGCGCGGCTCCGGTTTACCTTGGTGAGACGCGACACCGCGCGGGCGACTCAATGAATGAACGCGTGAAGCGAGGAGCGAGGACGTGAATTCACGCGTGCAGCAGCAGCTGATAACGATCCTGACGGTTATGATAATGAAAACCACCCATGATAATGTTTAGAAGCGTATACATCATGATGATGATGATCACAATCTTCATCACGACCGTCCTCGTCGTCATCAATATTATTAGATGTTGCTGCTGCCCGGCGTAAGACGATCTTCCTTCCGCGGGATATAAATAGCGGCGCGCGGCGCGTCCTGCTCAACGCTCTCTGCGCCAGGAACCCCCGCGGTACGAATTTGCGGGGCCACTCGAACATCGCCCAGTCCATGGGACCCGACTCCTTGCTCAGGGGGGTGAGGGGCGGAGGATAAATGTGGGAAGGCGGGGGGGTCCTAGTGCTCAGGCAGGACCCCCGTGCCGCCTGGGATCGGTTTAGTGCCAGCCTGTCCACGCGCACGCGGGGCCCCTGGGCTGGGATTGAGGAGCAGGAGCAGGAGGAGGGAGTGTGACCCTGGGGGGGGGGGGGGGGGTGCACGGCGAGGCCCTCAGCACCGTAGTCCTGTGGACGCTTGACGTGACGAGTGAACACACCGCTCACAGGGTGCTCGGCTAGAGCACGCGAGTTTGGGGGTAGGTTTAGCTAGGCTAGGGTCAGTGGTACGGTTGACGATAGGGTCCAGTAGACTGGAGTGGATACTGTGAGAGGTAGGATTTGGTGGGTTAGTGTTGATATGGTGAGGGGTAGGAATAGGGTCACGTGGGTTAGTGTGGCTATGACGAGGGGTAGGAATAGGGTCACGTGGGTTAGTTTGGCTATGACGAGGGGTAGGAATAGGGTCACGTGGGTTAGTGTGGCTATGACGAGGGGTAGGAATAGGGTCACGTGGGTTAGTTTGGCTATGACGAGGGGTAGGAATAGGGTCACGTGGGTTAGTGTGGCTATGACGAGGGGTAGGAATAGGGTCACGTGGGTTAGTGTGGCTATGACGAGGGGTAGGAATAGGGTCACGTGGGTTAGTGTGGCTATGACGAGGGGTAGGAATAGGGTCACGTGGGTTAGTGTGGCTATGACGAGGGGTAGGAACAGGGTCAGGTGTTAGTATGAATGAAGTCATTGTGAATATCTGTTCATTGAGAACTCAACACTGCCCGCATGTGCCCTTTCTTAAAAAGTCCTGAGGCTTCCTAGTTTCTTCAAGGCACATTACCGTGAAGTTCCGTCGCCGTCTCTAAGTCAGTAAATATTTCCACCTTCTTAGTACTGACTTAGGGCCACTGCCCGAAACGTTAGACTGTCACATAGGTGTACGCAGTGAGCTCATTGTAGAGGGGGGGAGTTTGTTTTGTGCGTTTTGTGTTTTGATTGAGCGCGCTACATTGGCGAGATGTTAACTACCTCGCCTGGTATACAGGAGGTCGTGGATTCGATCCCGACGGTGACGCCTATATAGTTGGAGCTTGCACGCCTCTCTACCCGTGGTCGCGTGGATTTTTCTCCGGGTCCTCCGGTTTTCCCCTCCATATTTACAAACGTGCGTCTTTGAGTCTTTGGCTGCGATACATTTCACACAATAAGCCACTTGGTTGAGCTATCATTTTGAACTTATTTCGCACCATACCTAGCCACCCGTGCGAGGTCGCTTCTGAAACCGGTAACTAGCTCAGTGGGCCTTACCTGGTAAAATAAAACAGTTTCGTCACGTGTGTGCGCAGTGATGCAGTGCTCATGCTGAAGGCGGGGGTTTGTTATGTGTGCTGGTGCGTTACTGCCTTGTTTGTGTTCTGATTGTGACTCAAACATTGATTGATCGATCTCACGCGGTGATAATGATAACGACTCCCAGTTAACCCCCCCTCCCCCGCTCAACCTCAATGGGCGGCCTCACCTTCCCGCATGCTGCCTCCATCGTCGAAATATTCACTTTCCGCTCTCGTCACGCGAGTCGTCGGCCTGGTGAAGCCGAATTGAACTCGCCGCCTTTCTCCCCCGCGCGTTCTGACGCCTCCTAGTCCCCTCCCGCCGCTGAAGCCCCAAAACAAACTAAAATACCCAGACAAACAAAACCCCCCTGGGCGCCCCTTGCCCTCGCGCTCCCCACTCGGCGAACACAGCCCCCGCCAGCCGCGGTGTGAGCGGCGCCCTTGAGACGCGAGCGACCCGCGACGCGGCAGCGCATCGTTCCTCTCGCGCCACGGAGGTCACCGCGCCGCGGTCCCCAGCACGCGATCGTCAGGCTCCCCAGCCCCCCCCCCCGCCCGCCCCGCCCTCCGTCCCGTCAGTGGCAACTCGCGACGCCGCCCTCGACGCAACGGTTGCATCAGAATCCGTGGCCCCCCGGGCGGCGTCGTCGTCGTCGAGGGCGGGGTCCTCGGGGTGCCCCCCCCCCCCCCACTCGCTCTCGAGCCGCAGCGTCGCCCGCGGAGGATGTCGCCACGGCGGCGCGAACGTGCGCGGTTGCACGAGCACACCCCCTCCCCCTCCCTCCACCCCTCCACCCCCACCCTCTCCACCCCCTCCATCCCCACCCTCTCCACCCCCTACATCCCCCCCTCCACCCCCACCCCTTCCATCCCCCCCTCCATCCCCACCCCTCCCCCCTCCACCCCTCCTCCACCCCCTCCACCTCCACCCCTCCCCCCTCCACCCCCCCTCCACCCCCACCCCCTACCCCCTCTCCACCCCACCACCTCCATCCCCCCTCCACCCCCGCCCCCTCCATCCCCCTATCCACCCCCACCCTCTCCCCCCCCTCCACCCCCACCCCCTCCACCCCTCCATACTCCACCCCCTATGCCCCCCTACACCCCTCCATCCCCCCCTCCACCCCACCCCCTCCACCACCCCCCCTCCACCCACTCCACCCCCCCTCCACCCCCCCCCCCCCGAGGTAGCGAGGTGCCCCCCACGGCTCACAGCCAGTGAGTCGCCGGCTCGAGCAGGGGGGTCGGCAGCTTCGCGGCTCCTCCAGGACTGCCTCGTGACGTCATTGATGGAGGACCGCCGTCTCGTGCACACCACGTGGTGGCATTGCGGATTTGAAATGTTGAGATTTTTTTATGACATTCGAAAAAAAACGCGTTTGTTATGATGTTGGTTTCCGGTGCCTGTGTTAGCGTGATCGTGCGACTCGGGCGCGTGAGTGCTTCGCGCGAGACTCAAAGAGATGTCGACATTCAGGCTGAGGTTGCCCTCTCTATGAAAACACTCAAACTCGCCGCCGTGTATGTTACTACGAGATGGAGAAGGGGGCGGGGGGAGATACCATTCTAAGTAGTCGCCCATGATCATTCTGATGAACACCACTCGGTCACTCTCGTCCACATCACGATGACAATGTGGAGTTGTATAGCGTCCAGACACGCTTGCGTCTCCAGGTGTAGCATGGAAAACACGGACGCACACACATGCATAGTAGATGCAATGCTTGAATACGGCATTATAATAGACGGTCGTAGTCAGAGGGGAAGGTCTTGAGATTGGTCCCCTTCGAGGAGGGGCAGAGAGTCCAGACTACGAAGGGCCGGGGGGGGGGGGGATCTCCAAACCAAGAGGGCAGCAGAGGAGAAGGAGCGACCTCCCGCTGAGCAACACATTGGCTGAGAGCTTCGACAGACGGAGGCGTCGGTTGCTGCAGCAGAAAGTGCGTGGAGGGGAGCAGAGTGAGACGAGAGGGCGGGGGGAGCAGGTATGGGTGAGGGCATGGAGGATTCTTGAGTGCTATTGATTGTCGACTGACCTCGATCGCGTCTTTGCCGTAGCAAAGAGTCACACGTTACTGGGTTGAGGGGACAGAATCAGAATGTGTATTTAGACTGGAGGAATCCGATGAGCTGTAAAGCTCTTTTTCACAGATGTCCAACGCCGCGTGTGGAGTCCAAGGAGCTCGCAAATCATTTACGCTAGCCCCCCCTTCCCCCCTCATCCCTCCATCGCGGCCTCCAACAACTAAAATATAAAATATTTTTAATTAAAGCTTGAGTGACTGCAGGAATTCATATTCTTTGGGTCTTTCTGTAAATTGTTTCAAAGAAAAACGCGACTTTACCGAAAGACCCAAAGAATATAAAATATGTTGTGGCATCAACTTCCCGCCGCAGCCGCCCCGAGTCGCGACACAAACCTCCAGGGAACAACACCATCGAATCACCCCCCCCTCACCCCCCCCCCCATACTCCCCTCACCCCCTCCTCACCCCCCCCCCCCTCCTTACCCACTCACTCCTCACCCGGCCCCCTCCTCACCCCCCCCGTCCTCACCCATCCACCTCCTCACCCCTCCCCTCCTTACCCACTCACTCTTCACCCAGCCCCCTCCTCACCCCCCCCTCCTCACCCATCCACCTCCTCACCCCTCCCCTCCTCACCCCCCCTCCTCACCCAGCCCCCTCCTCACCCCTCCCCTCCTTACCCACTCACTCCTCACCCAGGCCCCTCTTCACCCTCCCCCCTCCTTACCCACTCACTCCTTACCCAGCCCCCTCCTCACCCCTCCCCTCCTTACCCACTCACTCCTTACCCAGCCCCCTCCTCACCCCCCT